AGCAGAAAGGCTACAAGGCACGCTCTTTCTCTGGTCATCTGGATGCTCCTGGAACTCTGCCCAGGCTCCCAGAGCTCAGATACGGCTGCAGCCCAGGCTTTTGGGCTGGGATGGAGAACAGAATGGCAGCCTTTAGTTACGAGCAGCCACAGACTGGTTTGTTCTCACTTTAATTTGACCCAAATTCTCAAGAATTTGCTCAGGATAGTGGTTTTGCTTTGTTTTGTTTTGTTCCCTGATACTAGAGATTGAACCGAAGGCCTCATGCATGCTGGGCAAGTGTCCTACCACTGGGATACATCCTCAGCCTTTTTAAAGTTTATTTTTAAAACAAAGTCTTGCTATACTACCCAATCTGGGCTTGAACTTGAAATTCTCCTGCCACAGCCCTTCAAATAGCTGGGATTATAGGCATGTAATGCCCTATCTGGCTAGAACAGTGATGCTTAAATTTTAGTATACATCAGAATACCCTAGAGAGCTTGTTAAAACACAGATTTTTTTTTTTTTTTGTACCAGGCATCAAACTCATGACCTCATGCTTGCCAGGCAGGCACTTGTGCCACTGAACTAAACCCCAACCAGAGCACAGAGTTTTGCCCATCTCTCAGAGTTTCTGATTCAGTAGGTCTGGGGTGGGGCCTGAGAACTGAGGTATCTAACAAACTCCAAGAAACACTAATTCTGTGGGTCAAGGGGATACTGATTTGAAGATCACTGGTGTAGAACTCTGTGTGTGTGCCCATGTGGCAAAGGGGATTAAACCCAGGACCTCACACGTAGTAGGTATGCATTCTACCATTGAGCTCCTTCCTAGTTCTTTTTATTTATGTATTTTTGAGATGAGGTTTTGCTATGGTGCCCAGGCTGGCCTCCATTTCTGGGCATGGGTGATTCTCCTGCCTTGGTCTCCCAAGAGCTGGGACTACTACAGATGCATGCTACTGTCCCCAGCTACAGAACTTCTACGCAGGATTGTACCTCTCAGTAGCAGGAGGAAGAGGCTCAAACTTTTTCTTTTTCCCCTGGGCTGGGGAGGGAACTAACAAAGAATGGCCAAAGGGCACATGGTCCTAGGTGGGAGGAATTAATGTGGTTGATCACTGGACCAGGAGCCAGGAGACTTGAGCTCTTCAGACTGCCATTGAGTGAGTCCACGGTATGCCCTCAGTTGTTCTCTCTGTAAAATGACCAAGTAACACTTTTCCCCAGTTTTTAATATTTTCTAAAAAAAGAAAAAGAAAGGAAATACAAGAAAAAAAAACAAAGGAAAACAAAGTGAATTAGGTGATCTGAAAAGGGGCTGGGGTAAGAGAATCTGGTGGGTGTCTGTGGGCCTGGAGCTGACCTGGGTCTGCAAATGGCCAAGTTGTTCATCAGCTTTGACCACTGGGGTAAAGCGGCCAGCAGACAGAGCCTTGGCCTTCCTGTCTGTAACTGGGGATCAGGATGTCAACTTTGTAAGGTGGTGGAGGGAACTGGGGCAAATGTGGGAAATACCTCGCCAAGAAGTGTCAGCCATGATGGGTGTTTTCAGTTCAATGTCTCTTCAAGGGTTCCGAGGACTCTTCTTCCTGTCCATGTCCCACTACAGTCCCGGTGCTCTTTGTGAGGCTGATGGACTCAGACCTTCTAAGCATGTCTCAAAGTTTCCCCTGGAACGATTGCTGTGGGAAATGCTTGACTCCCCACATTTTCTAGCTTCCATTCTTCTCTAAGCTCTCATTCATTTGATTATTCATTTAACATTAATTGAGGACCTGCTATGTCCACAACACAAGATAGACCTTGGGATAGAAGACGAGGAAAAGATGTGGCCCTCGTTCCCTGGAGAGTTCACAGGCTTTCAGGAAAGTAATGTCAATCTGCAAATCCCATGGAATCAAGGGAAAGCCCATCACGAGAATGCTGGGAAGGCAGAGGTACATGGTTGGAGGATGTGGCCAAACTGGGGGCCAGAGCGGACTTTAGGAAGGGTGGGCCGAAAGGACGGCATCTGAAGTAGCAGAAATTGACTGGGAGAGGAAGGAGGGTGGAGCCTCGGGTGCAGGGGGAGCAGCCTGCCCAAAGGCTGTGAGATAGCATGAGCCTGGAGCCTGCAAGGAGCAAGGCTGAGGGCTGTGGAGGCAGGAAGGCGGGCAGCAGGGAGCTTACCTTTATCCCAAGACAGCAGAGAGGCATCCTGTGTGACTGGAGAAGCTGCCAGGAGCCAGAGAGCAGGGAAGATATGCATTAGGACAAAACCAGGGCAGTGTGCGGAGCAAGGATGCTGATGGCCCGGAGAAGGTGGAGCACAGCTGAGACAGAAGAGGGTTGCTTTATTTGGAAGATCCTTTGGGACGGACTCTACAGGGCCAGATGGGACTGACGTGCATGTGAGTGGTGACTGACCCCAGCCTGCTGGCTTCCTCACTGGCTGTCTAGAGGTTGATAGGTGGCCTTCATCCAACAGAGTTCAATTCTCTTGCCCCTTTCCGGAGTATTTCAGAGGCCTGCAGGTCACAGCTCACAGCAGGGCAGGAACCTCTATGTACATTTGGGACCCCTCACCTCCTCCAGGTGTGAGAAATCCTGTAATGTGCTCAGGACAGCAGCTGACACTCAACAAATGAGTGTATCTCAATCTCAAACTGGTGAGGAAACTGGGAAAATGACCTGGTGCTTAGGTGAATATTAAACTTTTACAGAGGACAGAGCAGGTATCTCAGAGTTGAAGTTGGGGGTCTGGCCCTCCTCAGAACCAGTTGTGTGACCAGCAGTGAGTTCCTTATCCACTCTATACCTCAGTTTACCTACCAGCACATGGAGGTAGAACACTGGGCTAGAAACTGAGTCACAGCTGCTGTATCTCTAAATCACTACGGCTTTTCTCTGTGCTCAAAGGAGCACACGCTGGGGGGCCAGGACTGCCTTCCTCCTGACTGAGGTCTGGGGTCTGCCCAGGCCACAGCCCATCAGTCTGCCTTCCTGCCGGTTACTACAGCAGTCCTGGTGCTACACACCCCTGCCTTCACCTTCCTGGACTCTTTGGGTTCTAGCTGCTCTATCTTTCTGCTCCTGCCTGGGATGCACACTCAGCCCAAGTGTTCACCCCCAGCCAGGACTGTGCTTCCTCTTTCCTTGCCTGTGTCACCCTGGCTCAGACCACATCTTCCATGGCACCTTCCTCTGGGTCCCTCCTTCTGGGAATTCCCTGGTCCTTCCTGGTGACCTGGCTCATTCACCCAGGGATACGTCTTTGTTCCTCTCACATGGCATTCAGGCTTTCTCTTGCATAATCATGTCCTCTGACTGGTCACTGGCTCCACCAATTACCAACATCTACCAATTCTCCCCAGGCCTCTGCACTTGGAATTGAGGGTTGGGTAAGTGTTGGGAGACCACCAGCCAGGGAAACACCCAAACTGTTCTCTCTGTGCTACATGCAATGGCGAGAGATGAGCAAACCTGGAACTTGCCCTCCTAAAAGGGTCCCCAGCTGACTTTGGTGGCTTTCTTTGCTTTGGCCCTGTTCACGTCCAGGAATGGGGCTACCCAGCCATTTCCCCACATTCTGGCCCAGACTTTGAGTTATGCCCCTATGTCCCGTCTTCCTAACAAAGCCTTCCTCAGTGGAAAAGAGCTCGGACACACAATACTTGCCAACAAAAGCAACCATTGTAGGCTCAGGGAAGGGGGTGGGGGCAGAGAAGCTTGGGTGAGGTTTTGCTTTCTATTTGCTGAGGCTGGAGGTAGGCTCCTGGGGCGCCCAGCCCACCGCTCATGAGTCAGAGCTGGGGTCCCAGCTGTGGTCCCTCTTCCTTGACCTGCCCTGTACAAGGCAGGAAGAAGGGGACACAGGGAGGGCTGGGGTCCTGAGTTTTCTCTGGCATGGCCTCACAGAATGGAGGTTCTTGTGCCACATGTCTTCAGTCCCTGCAGGGTTCCCACCCTGCAGCTGGAAAAACCGAGACCCTATGAAAGGAAGCCAGTGTTTGCAGAGGGCCACAGCAGAACCCTGCAACCTCAGTCTTTCTTTAAACCCCTCCCCTCAAAAACAGTCTGTCAGGGTCTTGACCATGTGGGCCTTACAGGACCAGAAAGAGGAACTCTGTTTTTCCTGCACTTAACATAGATCAGTTTGGTGGTGCCATTTCCAGATAACAGGGTGCTCTGACAATGCTTATCTGCTTCACAAATGAGCAGGCCCTTCAAAACCTCAGCATCATTTGGAAGATGATTATACAAACTAATATTTTCCTTCAGTTCCCACCTTTGGATTGCTTGAAGTACAGTTTTTTCTCTTTTCTTTTTGCAAATTACTAGGCACACATTTACAGAGTAGAGCCAGACAATCCGTTGGGCTTTGGCCCTGACCACTGAACCGGTATCAGCGTGAGGCATCTGCTCTCAGGCTCAGACCATGGGTCTTATCCACTGTAGGCCACAGTAGAGGCTACTGAAGCCAGGGTGGAGATGAAGGGCATTTGTGCATATTATGTGTGTCTTTCCACGCTAGCCTACCTTTGGCCAGGGCACCTGACAGTCAGTGCAGCTGGTACACTGGGGACCAGGGAGGTGCAGTCTGCAAAATGGGAAGATCCAAGCAGCTAGTGGTTAGTGGGGCATCAAGACCACTAGGAGGGGAAGAGAGAGACAGCTTCTCCTGGGAGCTCACCAATCCTCAAATGCAGTGGGACACTACCTTGACGCCGACTCTGAACTGATAACAACTAACTCTACAGCCAGCCAAAGAGACTGAGGAGCCTCTCGGAAAGCGGATCAGGCCTTTCCTCCGGAGAGGAAAGCCAGGCGTCTGAAGGGACGATCGCTCTGCGTGGCACTTCCGATCCCGGCCGCACGCGCCGCGCTTGCGGTCCCGCCCCCGCCCCGAGTGCAAAGCGCCCCCAGCTCAGACCCGCGCCCGGCCCCGCCCCGCCCCTCCCGGTGTGCCCACCCCTGGCCCGCCCCGCCGCCCCGCCACCCCCTCGCCCGGCGCGCGCCGCGTCCCGAGCGTCACGGCGCGGGAGGACGGGCGGGCAGGCAGTTGGCACAGTCGACGTTGGCGCGTCTGAGCCTCGGGTGTCCGGAGCCAGCGATCCAGGCAGCGGCGCCGCGCGGGGGGCTGCAGCGGGGAGGAGCAGAGGCCGGCGGCGCTCTGCAGGGCAGCCCGGGGCGCGCCCCAGCCTTGCCTGTGGCTCCGGACTTGGGAGCCTTCCCGGATCGCGTCCCGCGCGGCCACATGGCTTCGCTCCGCGCGCTGCTGTCCTGTCTGATCCCCTTGTACTGCGCGCTCTGCGCAGCTGCGGACAGCCAGACCTCAGGTGCGTGAGGGTCGAGCGCTCCGGGACTCGAGGAATCCACGGGGCAACTCGTCAGGGTGGCCTTTGAGCGCTACCCGGGCAAATTTCAAGCGGGTGGGAGGAGATGCACTCAGCTGGGTCCGAGCTGTCTCTTTCTCCCTGTGATACTTTCTTTCTCTGTGGCTGAGGGAAGAGAGAGCCCAGGAGGGGGTTTGGAAACTTCTGTCTCTTCTTAGTATCAGCTCCTTTGTGTTTCTCCTTCTCCTGCGGGTCTTTCTCCTTCAGTGTGTGCTCAGCCTCCAGCTTGGGTTCTTACGTGTGGGAGTGCGTGCACGTGTGTGTCCCGTGGTCACACACTCAGAACCCGGCTAGCAGGTGATTGCTTCCCTCCATAGCGCACTGGGGGCACACTCTTCTGCACAGAAACACATCCAGGTCTTTGTTCCCCAACTAGCATCCTCAGGGGAGAAGACACTACCCCCACCTTCCAGCGTGGATGTCCCTGATGTCTTTAGCATGGACAGGAGGGTTCATGTACCAAAGTGGGAACCCTCTTGCAGCAGTCTTGGGGTCCCCTATTGTCACAGGTGACACTAGAGGACAGGAGCATCCCCTTGCTGGTGTAACTGCTTTGGGTCCGGGGACTTTTCAGGACACATGATTTTTGTTTTATCAGCACTGCGAATTGGGTAGGTGATAGATGCTGCTGAGTGGAAATGGAAATTCCTCTCAAACTCGCATCCATGAATCACCAGGCCTGGCAGCCAGGGAGCTGTCATTTATGCCTGGCCAAGCTGGGCACAGGGAGAGCGGTGAGGATGGGGCCACTGGCATGCAGCCTGGAGCACGGGCCATGACCTCACACTTAATTCAGCCCAAGTGGGCAGGTCACCCCTGTGTCTCCTCTTATTTTTGAAGATCTATATTTATCCTGCTTGGGGCTGGACCATGTAAAAATCTCAGCAGCCACTGTGCTGCTTTAAAAAGTTCTGTTTCTAACCTTAGAAAACAGAACCACCTATTCCCTTCCTCGCCTCCAGCCCCACCTTTCCCTTGACATGGTTCTGCCATCCCCCGGGTTTCTAGGTGTGTTTGTTTTGCCAGCTACATTCTTGGGAGCTTGGCGAGGAGCGCCCTGCCCCAGGCTGGGCTGGTGACTTCAACTCTTTGGGGAGTTTGGGCAGATCTGGCTTTCCCTCTGTTCCTCGGGGATTTTAGAGAATTCGCTCTTTTCCTAGGCAGTGTTGGAGGTTGGAGGGCTTGTTGCTAGAGTGACAGGATTCTGTTTGGCATCATTAGTTTCCTTCTGCTAAACTGGAAAAGGATATGAGGGTTACAGGGAGCGATTTATGTCGATAGGTACCTGTACATCATTCCTAGAGGTGTAGAAATCCAGGGACTCAGGAAGTGATGAGTGGAAAGTGGATGAGCTTGGGCCAAATGGTTTATAAGAGGATACTCAGGGTTGCCCTTCCCTGCCTGCTCTGTGGAATTTCCAGTGTCCCCTTACCTCTGGACATTAAAGTGACTTTTTTGTTTCCCTCCAACAGGGCCGCGTCTGTCTAGAAAGCTCAGTGACTATGCTGTGACTGTGCCCTGCAGTACAGATTTTCAGGGACGCTTCCTCTCCCACGTAGTGTCTGGCCCAGCGGCTGCATCGGCAGGGAGCATAGGAGTGGACAGGACACCCATCCCACCACTGCGCTCCAGGGTGGCTCGCAGCCCTGTTGTGAGCCCAGACAGACGGACTTTGCCACCTGGCAGGATGCAGCGCTACTTCCTCTACTTCAACGTGACCGTTTTTGGGAAGGAGCTGCATTTGCGCCTTCGGCCCAACCGAAGGCTGGTGGTGCCTGGGGCCTCAGTGGAGTGGCAGGAGGATTTTCAGGAGCTGTTCCGGCATCCTTTGCAGCAGGAGTGTGTGTACACTGGAGGTGTCACTGGAATGCCAGGGGCAGCTGTTGCCATCAGCAACTGTGATGGATTGGTAAGGGACACTACTTTCTCTCTCTCTCTCTCTCTCTCTCTCTCTCTCTCTCTAAGCTATAAGGCCTCTCAGGCCCTGGTTCTGGTGATTTCTCTTGGCTTCCCTGGGTTTGGGATTCCTATGGGCAGGGTGTGTAGTGTGGGCCCAGTTGGGAGCTGTGCTGTCTTGTGGAGGACACTACTGGCCCCTGGCCACCAGGATCATACCCTGTCAGGTGTGAGGCAGCTGAGTTGGAATGATGCCTTTATTTTGTACAACCCCTCATCATCCAAGGACCCCTGGACCATGAGCTACTTGGCTGGGATGTGACGAACTCAGGGCGGAGGAAGGCAGGCTCCGGAGTTTTGACAGCCAGGTGTCAAACTGTGGCCATATCACTTGCAAACTGTGAGGATTTGGTCAAGTTGCCCTCTGCGGTTCTTCCCCTTGTGGGGACTTGGCCATTTTGCACATACTTGCTGCTCTGGATGCTGAGGATATGGGAGGACCCAAAGCAGATGTGGTCCCTGGCCTCACAGAGCTGACACACTGGTCCTACTGTGTGACTCACATCACCAGCCAGTGCATCAGGTGGATGCACGTGCCTAGTGTGTGAGCCAGGCTCAGCCAGTGCTAGCTGCTGATGGCACCACTGTTGCTGCCTGACAACCTTCCTTTTAGTCATCTTTTGTCTGTCTCTCTCCCACAGCGAGGCCAGTCTTCCCTGTCTGCTCCACAAGGTCCCTTTCCTCAGACCCTCTCTGTCTTCCCAGACCTGGGAGTCCTTGGAGGCTTGGCTCCCTTTTGCACATTAGGCAGCTTCTGTCTTGCTGTCAGCAGGTGTTGGCTTCTGCTGCTTCTGCTGCCTGTAAGCCCTCATGAGCTTGCATAGCTGCTGGGGCATGCTGGGAGGCTCTTCTCAGAGCTGCTTTAGCAGAGACACCAGGTATGAGCTGATGTGTTCCACAAAGAGGCCTGCTTGTTTAGGTCTGGGAGAGTGTGACTTGGATAGGGAGGGAGCAGGAATATGGGGAATGTTCCTCCCCACCTTCCCAGCATTATCAGGTATCTTCCTGTCACAGATCATGGTGGCCTATTCTTCTCAACATTTTTGTACATAGTTTCCTACAATCACTCTCCCTGCCATGATTGTACACCCCATAGCATATCAGTGTACTCCAATGCCAGGTCACTGCTATACTGTGCGGATATCTTTGCTTTATATATAAAAAGAATAATTTCTTTAACTTCCTCTATCCAGTTTTTATGCCACCGCAGGCTGTAGAGCCACTGAGAGCTGTGGTCTAGACAGTGATTAGTCCTCAAAAGTGGAGCGTGCACTAGGATTACCCAGGTGCCCTCTCAGAGCGGCAGAACCTGTCTCTCCAGGGAAGTCCTAGCATCCGCATCATCCACCGAACTCTCGAGGTGACCTGTGGCAAGGGTTTCATACTCAGACTAGGTTGTAGATTTGAGGGAGAAACCTCAGACCTTACCTGGACTCCAGGGAAAGCCTCGCTGCCAGCCTGTCCTGGCTCTGCAGTTCTCTGGTTAGAGAGATGCTATGTCCCTAGTTCTGGTTGAAAATCCAAGTGATACAAAAAATCAGCAGGATGCAATGTCTGTGTAAATGGACAGTCGCAAAATGCTGATGCAAACCAGCAGCTTGACTGAATGGCGTGGTGACTTCCCGGAGCCAGCACCCAAGGGACTGTTAACTTCTCATGCTCCCAATTCCTGAAGTGAAAAATGAGGGAGACACTAAATTGCTATATGCTGGGGGTCTCAAAGAAGATACGCATAGGTGACCATCACCATTGAAACCTCCCTTGTTATTGAACTGGCTCAGCAATCTGCTGACACGTTATTGACTCCTATCTGTAGATGCTGCAGGGACCACATGGTTTCTGTAAAGGACCCTGACCTAAGGGCTTCTGAGCCATGGTCCTGTGGCTGCACTGTGCAGTGAACTAACTGACAAGTTGTGCTGTGGTTGCTGGGGCTGGTGATGTTGGAGGTGGGGCCATTTAGGGGCCCTGTGGCCTGGCATGCCTGGGATGATGTTGCTGACTTTTGGTGGCCTCTGAGTACATGTTCTCATGAGCTGTGTGACCTTGGGCTTTAGTCTTCTCATGGATCCAGGGGCTGTATTTGCAGGTCCCTGGCAGATGGAAGTGGATTCCGGATGGCATATGCCAAAGCCATCAGGTCTTAGTGGCAATCTGTAAATGGTCCCCCAGAGCGTTGTTCCGCATCCTACACAGAAGTGAGGCTCATAGGGAAGTTTGTGTGTTCCCCAGCTCTTTGCTAGGGACAAAAATGAACTTCATGGTAATAATCCTCAGGCTGAACCACTGGTCAGCACCAGAGTACTGCTTGGGCCCTCAGCTGTCTGCTGAGGCCAGTCCTTAGGTCCAGTGTCCAGGCACCTTCCTGTTCCAGGCCAGGGTGGCACTCCCTGGCTGCCTGTCCCCTGGGACCCTCAGTACACTGCCTGAGGCCTGCCCAGAGGCCTCCCCTGGCAGGGACTCCTCACTCCCAGCCCAGCCAGGAAGCACCCAAGCCCCGAGACGGCAAGGATCCCTGCATGTCCCCAGCTGAGCTCACCTTTGGACTCAGAAGTCACAGTGCAGTGTTTCTGGTGATAAGGTTTAACTTTGTACTTTTCTTTCTAGATATTAACCTCATTTTCTTGAGGATCTCAAATACCAAGGTCATTCATTCCAAAGTGAGTAAAAAAGTATGTACTGAGCCATGGCCATGGGTAAGGTCCACCGGGAAATCACAGGAAAATGACACCAATAAGATGAGGTGTTTGGCCCTCTAACATCTCAGTCTTATATGGGAATTAACTGCAGTGTCCCAGGTGGCCAGCCAGCTGCCTTGTGGGGTGGCAGGAGTGGAAGGTACCAGGGTCTTGTCCTGATTGTAGGTTCCAATTGCGCATGAGGATTGCGTGGCTCCTTTGGACACCACACTTGTGGCTAGAATCGGAGATAGGCAAAAGAACTGAAGTCTGCCCACATGGGGTGGGCGTAGGGGGCTGAGGGGCATAGACTTGGGTCTTCAGACCCTCTATAACTGAAGGTTTGCTGGGCTAGGAGGAAGGTGCTTAGTGAATGGTCCAGTGACCTTGTTGTCCAGCCCAGCCCAGTCCTGGCATATATCGAGGGCCTGGTACTAACCAGGGAAGGAGGAGTGAATCACAGGTTTCCAGGGCCTGGCTTCAGAAATAAGTTTCAATTCAAAAATACGCTCCAATATCAGAACTGGACAGGGTTCCCTGGAGGAGGTGGCATTGGCTCAGGACTGTTCAAACCTCACGAGCAAGAATGCAAGTACCGGGCCTCTGGCCAGCAGATAGCATGACTGACACAGCCAGTCTGGAGGATGTTTGGGGCAGGAAGTAAGGGGTGTAGGGAGGCTCCGTCCAGCCTGCTGAGTGTTGCCTCCGGGGTTGGGAGCAGCTGGCTTGGGACTGTCACACCCGGGGGCCTCAGACCTTTCCACGGGCCACTCTTCAAAGCATTAACGCTTGGCACCTGGGAGGAATCTGGATGGAGACCTGGGGTGAGGCCATGAGTCTCGGAGAGATTGTGGACACAGGTCAGCAGAGTGGGGCCTCTGCTTCTCGGTGGGGCTGAGCACTTATGTCTGCATGCAGAGCCTGGGCCAGCAGCCTCTTGTGGGGCTTTCTCCTTAGGAAGATGAAGGCTACCCATCTCTGCCTTCCTGGATTCTGGCCTCCATGTCCTTCCTAGAACATCTGGTGCTGGTCTGAGGGGGACTTGGCTGCACTGATCTCCCCCTCTGCCTTAGTGCCTTCGTGAGTCAGGGCCTGGCATGGAAGCGGCCACACGTGTGAGATTTGTTGCATCTGGTTCCGTTTTCCACTCTTTGCAGATCCTGCATTTTCAATGGGTTACTCTGAGTAGACCCTGGCAGGCGACAGGAAGGGGACAGGAAGGCAAACCCCAGCCCTGCCTCTGACCACTGACCAAGTCCCAGGAGCCCTCTGAGCTGCAGTCCTTTTGTCTTGAAAATGGGACTGCAGTGGAGCAGGGAGGCCTGAGTGTGACGGCTGAAGGGTAAGGGCTCTGAACCGGGTCCTGGGGAGCTGCCCGGTTGTGCATGTGCTGGAAACCCACACACTGCAGACTCTAGGTAACGCATTGCAGCGAGTGTGAACTGTGTCTCAATGAGGCTGTTATGTACAGTGCCAGGGCAGGGCCCAGCCAGGGGCTGCTGGTAATTGTTAGGCCTCTGGGCTGTGGGAAGTGTGGGACTCCTCAACTCTGATGCAGGCCGGCTGAGTGACCCTGAGTAAGTTTCTAAATGTCTGTGGGCTTTAGTACCTCATCTAGGAGGAGAGGATAGGAGTAACCCTCTATAGGGGTGTTCAAAACAAGATCCTGTGAGGCACTTGAGTTTATGGTGGGCCCTTGAAAAGTGACAATTATTTCAGAAATCATGAATGGTTATATTTGTTACTTAATAATAATTATTATTATATAATAACATCATATTATTAATAATTAATTAATAATTAATATATAATTAATAATTATTGTTATTATATTATTATATAATAATTATTATTATTATTAAGTACCGGGAATTAAAGTCACGACCTTGCACTTGCCAGGCAAGTGCTGTGCTACTGAGCTAAATCTCTGGCCCACCGTAGAATTATTAATAATGATAAATATGATAAATACCATAATATTGCTGAAATCCCTTATGTTGCATGGGTATGTGGACCATCAGTGTTGTCTGAGTCTGAGTTCTGTGGCCACCACTGCTCCCGAGGATTGCCCAGCCTCCCTTCCCCCTATCCCTGTCTCCACTGCAGCACTGTCCCATGCAGAACAGGGTGCATGGTGTTTCCTCAGGGTGCAAAGTTTGCGCATGAGCACTGCTCTGTAATAACCCTAGACGCCTCCTGGCATAGTGGAGTGAGAGATGCCAGTGGAGTATTCTGTTAACAGTCATAGCCCTGCTCAGGGTCAGGATCTGGAGCT